CATCAGAAGGCATTTGAAAAGATTTATAACTTTGGCTAGATCTTTTCTGATTGTGGGTTTGGGGGAGGTTTTTCTTTCTGGGTTTGCTTTTTTATTTTAATAACTTGACAATTTCTGGCCTTTATTTCATTATACCAGCTAAACTACAGGTTTGTCAGTACTGTCTCTCTCATTTCTCAGTAGTCAATCCTGTTGACTTACTATTTTAGTAGCACCACTGAGGTTTGTTCTTGTCCTCCTGTGCCTATGCTCCCAAGGTCATGCTTAAGCATTTTTGGGTATGTTTTTCGTTGTTAGAATACATTTCAAAAGAGATCAAGGTAAACATGACAATTCAATTTTACAATTCGGAGTTGAAAAAGCTATGCTATTCTTCCAGAAAAATTTTGGTTTGTATTCTCAGTTAAAGAGGCTCCCCTTCATGTTTTAGGAACAAGAAAAGGTTAACATTGAGGGGGGTTAACCACCAGTTACCTTTACTATTGGAATCCATTTGGATTCAAACTAAGGCACTATATATAGCCTTTTAAATCACTAGGGAGGGGCTGGTAGATGGCATGGTGCTTAAGGCACTGGACTCCCACGTGACCGGCCATGGTTTGAGTCCCAGACCTGATGACTCACTTTCTTTCTGTTTCTGTTTGTCTCTGGTCAAATTTAAAGATAAATAAATAAATAAATACAATTAAATAAATAATTCTTTAAAAATAATCCCTAAGCAAATAAAAAGCCCTTTGACCTAAATGCATACCTTTTACAAAAATTAACTCGAAATGAATCAGAGTTATACTTAAAACATAATATCTTATAAAATCTTCAGAAAACCCCATGAGAAAAATCTTCAGAACTTAGAACTAGGAAAAGAGGGACGCACACGCCCTATAGCGAAAACCTCTCCAAAAAAAAAAAAAAAAAAAAAAAAAACCCTGATAAAATGAAACATATCAAATGAAAGCTTTTGCTCTCCACAAGAGTCTACAAGAGTCTGTTAAAAGGATGAAAGATAAGCTAGAGACTTGGAAAAAATATTTGCAAATCACATATTCAAACACTAGTATCTAGAATGGCAAAAGATTTCAAGAGAGATTTCACTGATGAAGATAAAGGGATGACTAATAAACATATGAAAAGATATTCAACTTCACTAACCATTAAGGAAATTCAAGCTAAAACCACAGATCAAACTAAAACTACTACGCATTTGTCAGAGTGGCTAAAATACAAAATAATGAAACACCAAACACCGCGGTGACAATGCAGAGAAACTGAATCACTCATACATTGTTGATGAGAATGCCAAACGGTATAACCATTCTGGAAGAATACAGAACATGCCATTTGTCCCAGCTACTGCACTCTTTGACGTTTATCCCAGAGAAATAAAAACTTGTGTTAGAAAAAACACCATACACAAATTATTCTAGCACCTTTCTTCATGATGGCTCAAACTGGAAAGAACCCAAATGTCCTTCAATGGGTGAATGACTAAAAAGCTATAATACACATTGACCATGGAACACTATTGAATAATAAAAAGAAACAAACTCTTATTTTATTTTTTTTGGAGAGGTTTTTACTATAGGGTGCGTGTACTCACCAGAAAGACAGAGAGAGACAGAGAGACAGAAAGCAAGAAATCACCCCCCAGGGGGGATGGCCACGCCTCAATCCCTTCTCCTCCACTCTCCTCTAGGGATCTTGGGCACGCACACACATGCACCTGGCATGACTTTAGGCCACTGGGTCCAGGACTTGAACCACAGTTGACTACATGGAAGTCCAGCGACATAGCCATTATGCTAACTGCTGGTCCCAAGAAACAAACTCTTGATACATGCCACCTTGTGGACAGGTCTCAGGGTAATTATGAGAAGTGAAAAAAGCTAAGTGCTAAAGATTATCCACAATACGTTTCCATTTATGTAAAATTTCTGAAATGACAAATTAAAGATATTAAGAACGTATTTTTTAAAATATTTCTTTATTTAATTTTATTTGTTATCCTTACTTTTTAATTTGAGAGAGACAGAGAGAGAGAGAAAGGGAAAGTGAGAAAGCGAGCCCAGGTCCAGGACTCGAACCATGGTCGGCCACGTGGGAATCCAGTGCCTTTAACCACCACGCCACCTGCCAGCCCCAAGAACATTTTAATGGTTGTCAGGGGTGGCAGATAGAGGAAATGGTAAAACATAGGATTCTTTTTAGAGAACTATTCTGTATCTTCACTGAGACAGTGGCCACAGAGACCATGATAAGATTGCATAGAACAAAATACATACACACACACACACACACACACACACACACACACACACATGGTTGATGGACTGTATCAATGTCAATTTCCTAGTTGTGCTATGGTACTACAGTCTTATAAGATGTTACCATTGAGGAAAATTGGACTAAAGATACAGGATCTTTACTATTCCTTATAACTAACTACATGTGAATCTATAATTATTTCAGAATAAAAAGGTACACAGTTGTTTTAATCCATTTTGTACAGCTATAACAAAATACCACAAGTGGGTATTTTACAAAGAATAAAAGTTTATTTGGCTCATGGGTCTAGAGGCCGGGAAATCTAAGAACACAATGCCAGCATCTGTGGGGGCCATCATGCTCTGTCATGCCATGGTGGTAGGCAGAACGGCAAGCAAATCCAAGGGCAGAGAGAAAAGGGAGTGCGATTCCTCTTGATAACTGACCCACTCCCACGATAATGGCCTTGACCACGCATGAGGGCAGAGCCTTCATGACCTAAATATTTCTTTGTTTGTTTGTTTGTTTGCTAGTGAGCACGTGTGCTTGCCCGAGGGAGACAGAGAAAAAGAGAAAGAGACCATAGGAAATGACCCCCCAGGGATGGCCACGTCACTATCCCTTCTCAATTCTTCTCTTCAAGTATGTGGGCATGCACATACATGTGCCAAGCATGGTTTCTGAACTGCTGCATCCAGGACTCTAACCATGCAGTTGGTCATGTGAGATCCAGCTGCCTTGACCTACTCACCATCCATTGGCCCTTACCTAAATATCTCTTAAAGGCCCCACTTCCCAACACTGTTACAATAGCAATTAAATTTCAGCATGCGTTTTGGAGGGGTATTTAAGCTATGGAAGCAGTTTTTATTTATTCTAAATGTCCTATCTTTCAATGTCTCATCCAGTAGAAGACTGATTTCTTTCTTCTCCGACCTACTACTCTCATAGTCCTGATAGCAGAAACATTTCATTACAATTAGTAGTTCAACTCTTCTGTTCTAAAAGTCCTTATTCATGGTTTATTACTGCTTTTTTCCTACAGAAGTACTTATTTTATTTATTATTTTTTAATTCACCAGAGAGAGAGAGAGAAAGTGAGAAATCAAGTCACCAAGTCTGAGACCCACACTAGACCCAGCCATGTGAGAGTCCAGTGCCCTAATCACCATGCTACCCACTGGCCCCAGTCGTTTATTACTTCTAACTGGAGCACGCCCACAGAAAGAGTTTTAATTCTGAATCTAATGCTACATGAAATGGACAAAATACTTTCTGAGTTTTATTCACTTCATATAAAATAGAGATAAAATCATCTATGTCATGCGTTTATTTTGAAGATAAAAACCTAGATAAGGAACTTACTATCTAGCAGGTCCTTAAATTGTTTCCTTCTGGGTTAGCAGATGATGTGGAGGTTAAGGCACAGAATCTCACATGACCAGTTCTACGGTTTGAGTCCCAGACCTGGTGGCTTCAAAATCATGCTGGGCGTGTGTGCGTGTATACCCAAAATTTCGGGAAGAGAGTGAAGAAGAGACTGTGGTGCAGCATCCCTCCAGGAGGGTGATTTTGCACGTTCCCTCCCTGCCTCTCCAGTGAGTGCATGTGCCCTATAGCAAAAACTTACAAAAAAAAAAAATCCTTCCTTTTCTCATGAACAATCTAAAATCGAGTTTCATTTCTGAATAAAAACATTAGCAAAAAGTCCTTTACTTTTGGTTCCATGGCTTATATTTGAATTTTGACAAGCAAATAGATTGAGAATTGGGAATGGAGAGAGACTAAATTTAATTCTTCAAGAATATTTTAGTTTAGAAGAACATAATTATTTTAAGTATAATTTTGAAAATATCTTGGTTATCAAAATGACTTATAGAGGTTTAGCACGTCATTCATTCTATTATGTTTAGTCCTATATAGATACTTAAATCTGTAAGCAGTAACCAATCATGCTACTATTAGGTATCAACGAACATATACATGTAAGTTCAAGCCTTAAAAATGACATAAATTTTGGGAACCAGCAGTTGGCGTAATGGCTATGTTGCTGGACTCCCATGTAGTCGACCGTGGTTCATGTCCCAGCCCCGGCGGCTTAAAACTCACGCCGGGCGCGTGTGCGTGTTTGCCCAAGATCCCAAGAGGAGAATGGAGGAGAAGGGATTGCGGCGTGACCATCCCCCCTGCGGGGTGATTTCTCGCTTTCTGTCTATATGTCTCTCTCTGTCTGTCTGGTGAGCGCACGCGCCCTGTAGCGAAAACCTCTCAAAAAAAAAAAAAAAAAGACATAAATTCCAATGACATAATTGTACCTATTCCACCTACCTACAGAAATACTTCATAGTAATGGACTTTCCACAAGGTGATAAACTTCAACAATGTCGTAGATTTTTAATTATAGCTCACCCAATGAAACTATAGAAAGGTAGGAGCTAAGCACTTAAGATTTAAAATTGAAGGAAGGTTGTTAACATTAAATTTAGAGCAATGACCAGTTTAGTACACAGCAACTAGATTCTCTGAGAAAACTGTCAAAAATACAAAGAGAAAAAATCAAAAGTTATTCCTCTAATATAAATCTGAAGAAGAATGAAGAACGTGTATCGAACTTCTGCTGGTTTCCTGCTCTGTTTAGAACAGTCACAAAACACAAAATGCCAAGGAACACTTGAGGACGAAGTGCCTGCAAATAAATTTTTTTAACTGTTATAATTTTGCAAAACAAAAATACTTACCGAGCAAAATAACTTTGTTTCCGTTCTTTCTTCTCTTCCTTGGTATCCATAATACTCAATCAAAAGTGCAAAGTACTTGGAAAAGTCCTTCTTTTTAATCAATGGCTCATAACCCTGCAATAAAAAATAACAAAGCAACTGTAAATGAAGACATTTATAATGACCAATATAAAGAGTAGAGGAGTAGAACTACATGGCCCAAAACAAATGAAAGATAAACTTTAACCAGGACATAAAGCCACGTGAGTCAGATACAAAATGCAAATGCTCATGGAAGCATGACGCCAAACTACAATTAGAACAGTGATGTTGGGTTGGCAGGTAGCATGATGGTTGAGGACACTCAACTACATGGCTGACCGTGGTTCAAGTCCCAGACCTGGCAGCTTGCTTTCTTGCTTTCTCTTTCTCTTTCTCTGTCTCTCTGTGGTCAAATTTAAACAAACAAAAAAAGGAATTAAATAAATCTTTTTTAAAAACATTATTTAACTTATTTATTATTTTTAGTTTTTAATATTTCCAGACACACACAGAGAGAGAGAGAGAGAGAGAGAATGTGAGAAAGCAAGCCTCCAAGTCTGGGACTCAAACCACGGTCGACCATGTGGGAGTCCAGTGCCCTTAATCACCACACGCCACCTGCTGGCCCCAGTAAATATTTTTAAAAATAATAATAAAATTAAATTAAAAGAACAGTGATGTTAAACTATAAAGTAAAAGCTCAAGTATTTTCCTCATAACTGACAATTACTTCAAAATGTGCCAAAACAAAAACCTTCACTGACTGTGGAAGAGTGTAGGCTAGTTATGCAAGTGCAAATTATTTTTAAAAACTTTTGAACTCATAATCAGTCTTTTTAAGTAATTCATAATGAATATACTCACAGATAATTGTGCAAAATGGCTAACTTAGGTGTTTTACAAGAATGTTCTTTCTTTAAAAATAAAAATAACTTCAGCGTTCTATTTTATTTTCGGAAACATGCCAGCAAGTACATCCCACATGAACAAATGTGGAAATGAAAGTGCAAAGACTCAGGAAGCTATTCAGAATGGCTTTATACTCTTGCCTCTCCCTGCACCCTCTCCTGCAACCCTCACCTATGCTTGCCGGCAGTGGTTTAAACCTATCATAAAAGGTTGTCTCTAGATCAATCTCCCTTAAATACCATTTCCATCATGCCACTCCTCTGTTCAAAAATGTCATGTCTACTTACTGCTTGATTCACCATTCTAAATTTTCTCCAGAGGATTAACACTCCTAAAATCTGTCCTGTCACCCTGAAGTAAAAGGGTGCTCATTAATCAAGTTTAAATTAAAGAGGAGAGCAGGTGGCGTAGTGTCTAAGGCACTGGACTCCCACATGGTCAACTTGAAACTCACACTAGGTGCATGTGTGTGCATGCCCAAAATCCTGAGAGGAGAATGGAGGAGAAGGGGTCATAGTGTGACTATCCCTCTGGGGGGTGATTTCTCACTTCTCTCTCTCTGTGTCTCCAGTAAGTGGGCATGCCCTATAGCAAAAATCTCTCTCAAAAGCAATTTTTAATTCATAAAAAGCAAAGGATGTTCTCAAAATTATTTGCTAATTCATCTCAATACAATAAACAGTTCAATCCGCAATGTATGTCACATGAAAGGTATCAGAGGCCAGAGATAAATGAGACATGATATTTGCTTTAATACAAATTTACTGCCTTGTGAGGGAGACACTTGCCTGCTGATCATAACTCATTTATTTAATATAAACATACACTATCTTTTAATTCTTACAACCACATTATGTTAGGTATCCTTATTTCTATTAAACTGAAACTGAGAGATACTAATTAATTTCCCTAACTCATCAGCACTAGCTGTGGTGGGATAGGGATTAAAATCCCATTTGAGGGGCCAGCAAGTGGCATAGTGGTTATGTTGCTGGACTCCAACATGGGAGACTGCAATTCAAGTTGCGGACTGAAGGCTTGAAAACCCTGCCTGGGTGCACGTGTGTGTGCACATAAGCCCAAATCAAGTCCCAGGAGGAGAATGGAGGAGAAGGGATTGAGGTGTGGCCATTCCTACCCCTCAGGGGGTGTGATTTCTCATTTTCTCTCTCATTGTCTCTGTCTCCTCTGTCTCTCCCTGGCAAAGGCATATGCTCTATGGTAAAAATCTCAAAAAAAAAAAAAAAATCCATTTAGTGTTTATTCTGGTGTCTTTCAATAACTTTTGGAGCCAGGAAGCATTAGGAGATGAACTAGAAAAAGTCATCTGGCATGCATAACACCCAAAGCCTCATCAAGGTTCTGCAAGTTAAGACAAATGTACCTGGATACTAGGACAAGGAGTCATTAAGGACCTCCCACAGGGCTGTATCAGTGGAGTAATGGGAGTGGAACCCATTCTACATTGAGTAAAGGGAGTTGGTACTCATTCAAGATTTGGGGTGATGAAAGAATGAAGAAAAAGAGACAATGATGACCAAGTGTCCAGTTCTCTTGAACTCAGTCTCACACAGTGTTTGAACACACTAGCCTTCTGTTCAACTCTGTATCTTTTTTCTTACTCTTTCCTTATTTTTCCCCAGGTTTGAGATAATCTTGCTATGATCGTCCTTCTGATCAGATCTAGCACAAAGGCTAATTTTGTTTTAAAATTCTCCTCAACTACTATACTCCTCCTTAGCTGCTGATTTCATATTTCATACCTATTATTTACTGCAAGGCTTTTTTTTTTTTTTAAGTTCACTTTAACCCACTTTAAAAGAGAGACAGCCTTCACCCCTGCCCCAACAGAGTCTTCATGCCGCAATCCATCTCTAGTTTAAATCAGCCAGGATCATGGGTACACACATGCACCCAGTGTGCTCAGCACGTACCGCTGCCCAGCCCTCCATTTGCTACAAGGCTTACAATCACACGCTACGTGACAAAGCCATTTCACTTAGCCTCCTCAGCCCCAAATCATAAGTTTCAAGTCAAACATCAGCATGCTTCATACTTTCCTTATACTTGCCTAAGTACTTGGCACATAGTCAGCAGAAAATTTGCATAAAAGCTAAGCAAGTTCTTAAATTAATCCAGAATTGGAGATAAGGTCAATTGGATAGGAGACTGATAAAACTCCAAGGAGTCCTTCTCGAATTAAGAATTACTTGAGGGTATGGGATTTACTCAAACCAGCCTACCTCAGACTCTAGAGAGGATTAGACTGCCAGGGTCTTCATGCTGCTCTGGGCCAGCCAGGTGGTTGATTGAATGTTTTTCTCCTACATGCCATAAATATGTGATCTCTGTTTATTAAGTTGCCCCTCATGAATAAAAATGAAGTCATAACAATCTAATTGGAAAATTTTTATATTGCAAGCTGAGCCAGAAACTAATATTTGGCTCCAGTAAAAAAATATTGACAAAAATACGCACAAGAGAGAGATGAAATGATCCAAGAACTGACATCTGGTGCTGCTGTGTCTGTTTAGAACTGAGAAGGCTTTTCTAGTTTTCAAGATTCTATAAGATAAATTGAAACTATGCTAATCTTTGGTTTCTTTTCAGTTTCTGGAATTTTTGTATTCCTTAAGCGAGACAAATATAGGCTTCTGAGCTCTAGACATACCAAAAGATGAACCAGAAAGAGCTCAGAAGAGGATGCTATAAAAATGATTTGCACAGAGCACCACACAGCAGCCTTTACGCTTCAGTGAAGAACCAGAGCTCTTTAAATCAATCTCTAATGGGAGCTCCATTTTCCATTGTAAGTGCTTATAATGGCTTCTTAAAAGCCCTTCCTTCATTTAATGTTGACTTTTCCTCACATCGATACACTCTAGACTCATCTGAACACTGACATTACAAGAGTTTCCTGCATTTACAGTGTATGGAAGATCAAAAGAAATTGTATGAGAGCACAAGATGAATCCTTTATCTAAATATTTCCTTTCTCAATCTCAAATCAGGGCAATCTATGTAAACCTAAATTCAGTTCGTTATTGAAAGAAAACAACACATACAAACGTCCTTACCTCATAAGGGCTATGTTGAAAGCAAAGTGTTTTTCATGTTACCAGCAAAGTGCTCCTTGTTTGAGACCAGACACCATTTAAAGAGAATTAAAGAACAGAGTTGGCAAGACTCCATAACTACACCAAACCAGCAGGGACCCATCCATGCAGATTTCCATCTAACACACTGGAGTCCTTAAATACTCAGGTTTAACCAGTCAGGTCTGGAAAAACACAAGTGCATCCATAATGCCATCAACTGTTTTCCCCACAACATGTGTCCTGATAAACAAATGAAATCATGACAGGAACGTGCACTGAGGCTTGGTCATACCAAGACTGGCCACTGAAGGGACAGACCAAATGAACCTTTCTATGCAGATACTTCCTCCTAGAAAATATTTACATTTAAGCCAAAATATGACAGGTGTTCAGGCTCTCAAAGCCACACTGTTACCATAACAAAGGATGAATTCAAATTTCATTGTTAATCAAGGTCAAAAATTTGAATACTCTTCTAACAAGAAATATGGAAAGAAGGACATAAAACCAAATACAGCTGTGTGGCACAGACCTGAAGGGCAGCAACAGGGAGACACACCCCCAAGGAAACAAATGTGTGTCACAGCCAAGCAACAACATAATGATGGTCACAAACAGCAAAATAGCTAAGGCAGAAGTAAGACCGTGATGAGACTAAGTGTTAAGATGACAAAGTGAATGGAGAACTTTTCAACTCTTATTCCATTATTCGCCAACCAGGTCAAACTCAAATTTGACCTGAAAGGAATTAAACATATGTGAGTTTCAGTGCTCCCTTACTTAAGATGAGGAAAGAGATTCCATCAAAGCTAGATCTTCTAAATGAAGAACCATCTCTAGGCTAGATGGATCATTTTATAAGTTGTCTCTAAGAAGAGAGCATCCAAATGAGATTTCTAAAAAGTCACCAAAATGCCTAAAAGCAGGTCCAGGAATTTAGGAAGAGATGCCAGAAGCCTGAAAACAGGCAAATGCATCTTAATTTCCAGCAAAAGTTAGGTATTGTGCAAAGCACACACTGGAGAATAAGAAATGACAGAAATCCCCAGAGAAACTTTAGAAATGGTGATTAAAGGCAGGTTGGTT